CCTAACCTAGTGAAAGCCTGCAACGGAGGCACCAAGGAAGGACGCTCAAGGCAGAGCTTCCCCTCTTCCACCCCCACCCCCCAAAAAACAGCTCCACCAGACCTCATTACTTACCTTAGTCTTCATTTGGGACGAAGTGAGTAAGGAGTCACTCTGGAGCAACTGAATGAGGTCCTTGTAGACAGATCGCTGGACTGCCAAAAGAGGAAGAGAGAGGAGAATGGAACTGCACCTCAAACTCAATTTACGACCGCCAGGGAGCCTGCCCCGCCCGTTACAGGCCTAAGCCACGACGGTCATTGAACTTCAACTCCCAGAATTCCTCAGCCAGCACCACCATTGCTGAGGATTCCGGCAGTTGGACGTTGCCCAGCTTGGAAGCCTTGATCTAAGAAGTCTTCAAATTTGGCCACTTTAAGACGGGTGGACTTCAACTCCCAGAATTCCTCCGGGAGTTGAAGTCCACAAGTCATCAAAGGGCCAAGTTTGAAGACCCCTGATATAGACTTGAAGGGGAGTGGACTTCAACTCCCAGAATTCCTCAGCATGCCTGGCTGAGGAATTCTGGGAGTTGAAGTCCACAAGTCATCAAAGGGCCAAGTTTGAAGACCCCTGATATAGACTTTAAGAGGAGTGGACTTCGACTCCCAGAATTCCTCAGCCAGCGTGCCTGGCTGAGGAATTTTGGGAGTTGAAGTCCACCAGTCTTAAAAGTGGCCAAGTTTGAAGACTGGTGATTTTATCCATTAAAGATTGCAGGACGGGGTTGGACTAGAAGACCTCCAAGGTCCCTTCCAGCCTTTGGATGCTATATGAAATCCATGCTCCTAGAAGAAGGGAGAACAGAGAAGTTCCGTGCCCTTTTTTCATTCTTCTCCAGCAGAAAGCAGATCCAGCTCCTTCCACATTGAACTATAACCCCCATCATCCTTGGCCCTCTCCCCCACCATTCCAGATAGGTTCCCCATCTGATGGTGCTGGACCTGAATGACTCACAAGCCCATAATGAGCAAGCAACCGCTGATCCTTTTTCCACGGCCACGATGGGACCTGTCGTCCAGGATACTGATCTAGGGCACCAGACCTGGAGAAAGCTACCTCAGATGCCTTCAAGAGAGCTGGGAACTCCTCTCTCTGAAGGCTGCACTCACTTGAGTCGCCTAAGATGACCACAAACTTGTTGTGTAGAAGCTGACGGACCTCCTTCGAATTCAAGCGGAGCATCTCTTGAGGAACGACGTGGTTTTCGGCACACGGGGGATCCGGGGACCTGCAAGAAAAGACACCCCCCGTTCTCAAGGGCTCGTTCCAAAGTCCCAACGCTGCTTCTTCCTCAAACCACAATTCGAATTCTCATCGCGAAGAACCGGAAAGATCTCAGAAGGTGAAAACTTTGGCCTAAGGTCTCCTGCTTGAGCAGGGGGTTGGACTAGAAGACCTCTTGAGGTCCCTTCCAGCTCCATTCTGATGGATTTTCCCCCCTCCCCAGGTTGCAAAGAGGAAGGGGCTGTCGAGCGATAGGGATCAGGACCGTAGGCTAAGTTACGACTCAGATTGATTGCGCGAGCCTACACAGGTCGTCCTCGACTTACGACAGGTCATTTAGTGACCGTTCGAAGTTACAACGGCACTGGAAAAAAAGGGACTTAGGACCTTTTTTTGCACAGCCCAAAATTTCCGTTCTGAATGAGACGGGAGGTGGAGTGAGTTTGGCCCCGTTTTGCGGCCTGGCTTGCCACCGTTGTTAAGTGAATCACTGCAGTTGTTAATTTAGTAACCTGGTCGTTAAGCGAATCAGACTTTCCCCCCATGGACTTTGCTTGTCAGAAGGTCGCAAAAGGGGGATCACGTGACCTCCCAGGGGCACTGCAACCGTCATAACTATGAGTCATTTGCCCAGCGTCTGAATTTTGATTACCTGACCACCGGGGATGCTGTGATGGTCATGTGAAAAATGGTCATAAGTCCCTTTTTTCAGTGCCTTTGTAACTTTGGACAGTCACTAAATGAACTGCCGTAAGTCAGGAGCACCGGGAGTGGCAGGAGCACTCAGGGCTGTGACTCAACGGAAAGAGGACAGATTGGGAGGGGACAAAAATAGATGGAGACAGAAAGAAAGAGTGACAGAGAGATAGATGGATGGATAGAGTCAGAGAAGAGAGAGAGAGAGAGACAAAAAATGGAGAGAGAGAAATAAGAGAATAACAGAATATGACTTAAGGAACCTTGGAGGTCATCTAGTCCAACCCTCTGCTCAGGCAGGAGACCTTATACTATTCCAAATAAATCTCTTTTTAGAAAACTCTGGGGGGAATTTCTGATCCGCTGGTTAATTGTCCTCACTGTTAGGAAGCTTCTATTTAATTCCAGGCTGCTTCTCTCCTTGATTAGTTTCCATCCGTTGCTTCTTGTCTGCCTTCAGGCGCTTTGGAGAATAAGTTGAATAAATAAATAAAAGAAGTTTGGATATATATATATATATATATATGTAGGTCTTTAGTTATTCGGGTTTTCTCCCGCGTAGAATTAAAAGTACCTTGGCGACGTTTCGACGAAGTCACATTCGTCATCCACTCTTAGAAGCACGAAGCTGAAGACACCAGCCTGAAGATGACGAATGTGACTTCGTCGAAACGTCGCCAAGGTACTTTTA